ATCAGCAGTGACATTTGTCCTTACACCTTTTAATTTTTTATGAAGATAAATGAAAGTTCGGTTCTTCAATAACAGGGGTGACTTTTTCAATCCTTTTTACAGACTTTATCTCAATATCCTATCCATGTCCAAAGGTGAAGGAGAATATGTATTTACAGCATCAATTTGAGGGTTTACTTCAGAGTTTCTTCATTCTTTTTGAGCAATGCAGTTTGATAAACCAGTTTTGTTTTTGTTTTTGTTTTTGTTTTTACTCTGTGGCAACTTAGAAGTTACAGGAAGTCAGATCTTGTGATAGCATATTTTATTAGCCGAATTATAACACCAGTAATTTCACAATTGTTGTGTGTTAAAAAAAAAAAAAAAAGTATGTCTTGCTAAATTATATTTTGAGATTATACTTTGAGAAACTATATTCAGCCTGTTGAATTTTTGCACAGTTTCTTTTAAAAAATAACATTTTTTTTATTATTATCCTTACTAGCTCATGTCTGTTGTGAGTGGTTTCTAAGGATTTGGATTTTAGTGTTGGTCTTCTTGAAATGCCTGCAAGTTTCAACTTTGACTTAAGTGCTTACAGGATTTAATTGTGATGCATTCAGCAGCAGAAGTGTATTTGTCGTACCTGTGAATGAGATGCACTATTTAGAAAAAGAAAAATCAAGGTTAACACATTCGGGTAGTTGTTCTCATGTATCTAATCTCATATTTTCTCTGCTCTTTGCATAAGAAGTCAGGGAGCTGAGAGTGCAGTTTTCTCTTGTATGCTCTTTAGCAACTAAGAATATGAGCTTACACTGACATAGGATGTGAGCAGATCAAGTTTGCAAAGTCATTGTGAATCTTAAAAATGGAAGATGCTGCCTAAAGAAACTGCCTTACTCTGAGCAGCATCCGTGTTAGCAATGTCGTATCATTTTAGCCAGTGTCAGTGTGGGATTGGTGAATGCATTTGTCTCAGTAGGGTGATCCACGACCTTTTTGTACCTGGGCCATTGTTTTAAAAAATATTCTGAATTTCTGCATAACAACTCAGTAACACCTTTACTCCAGCAAGATTGGAGGGAGAAATAACTCCCATATAAAACATGACGTCAGGAATGCTGGTATAAGCATGTAGGGGAAGATGGGTACTTTTGTACATAGACAGCACGTGTCTCCTCCTCCCTTTCTTACCATACGTAGATGGGAAAGGTGGCCAGGCTGGGTTCCTTGATGTGAAGGACCTTGTGAAGTTCCCCGTGCTTTGCCTTGCAGCTAAATCAGTACCATCGAGGAGACAGGACCGTGCAGATCATCTCTTCACTCTTAACGTGCCTTTGCAGTCTGAGCCACAAATTGACCCCTATTGATCTGATTTGACTACACTTCTGTGGAGCAGACAAACAGTGCGGTGGAATCCAGGATCCCAGATAATAATTCTTATTTGTGTTAATCACAGGCATCAGCAGAACCCAAAGGCTCTTTCTGGCTTGTGTGCATTCCTGTTCCTGCCATTGGAGCGAAAAAGTATCTGCTCTGAGGAAAGAGTGTTTTAAGTATATTGATACTTGATACTAAATAGTTGCAAAACTTAGCCCTTAGAAAGAAGTCTGTTTTTCAAATCAATGGCTCACGCATTACTGTAAAATCTATTGATTAAAAACAAAGCATAATGTTAGTCATTTAGTCAGTAGAGTGATGCAATAGTGAAATAAATTTATCCTTTGACTTTTGCATTAACCTTTTATTGACTGCTTGCATACTCGTAATTAACACACACTTTAGCTAGCTTGGTTAATTTTAGTATCGTGATCAGTGTCCTCTAATGTAGCTGACACCCTGATCATCAAAGTGTCAGTGCAGCCCAGGGGACCATAACCAGGTCCCTGGTGCCAGTGAGAGCACACCTGCCTCGGGGAACGCAGCCACCTTCCCAGGGAAGGAGTCAGACCTTGTCACACCAATGCATGTCATGACTTATGTTAATGTTCTGCTGTTGGTAAACATGAACGAGCAAAGTCCATTTGACAAACATGAACAAAAAGGGAATCAAAAGCCTGTGAAGATTATATGGGAGAGAAAGTGCACAGCAGCAGTAGCCTGGTGTTCCATCAAAATGGGCTTTTTGCATTGGAACTGGCTCAGGTTTTGATTGGTTTAGCAAGAAAGCAGGGGCCAAGGAGTCTTGTGCATTCTGCACACCTCTAGACATACAAATCATGCTTTTCTGGTGTGTTGGTAAACTTGTATTATCGAGGTACTAGAGCTAAATTGCTCAGAAATATGTCATGGTGGTTGTTCCCTACTCCTCTTTATTTGGCGTCTTTTCTTCCACATCTCAGGGCATGTGGCATTTCCACTCTTAACACATTTTGTACATAAATATACAGGCATTGAATTTACTTGCTTTTGGAGGCTTTACTTCATTATCAACTCAAATAACAGTTTTTAGTTAACAAATAATATTATAAATCTTGTTACTTTCCCACTACCACTGTACTTTGATGACTGCAGTGTTTCCCACATGGACCCTCATCTATTGCTTTGTATCTGGGAAAAGACAGGAATTCTGGCTGTTCTCAGTTATCATTGCTAACCTGTAGTCCCTCACCTGGAATATATGGCTAACACTTCCATCCCTGTAATCCCCCACCTGGAATATATGGCTAACGCTTCCCAAGCGCGTGGTCACTGAGAGTTAGTGCACACGCGTAGCTGTGGGGTGGCCTGTTGAAGATGGCTCTGTAAGAAAACCAGAGAAAGGAAAGTAGTGGCTGGAAGAGCTGCTCATGGGCTGCCCACTCACAGCATCGTTAGTAACTTCAGACATATTTACAGTGACAAATGTCCAAAACCCAAAGGTGAGGGAAAAGCTGGCCAAGTAGTTTGTGGACGAGAGTGAGGGGAAAAAAGAGACATTAAAGATAAAGGAAAAAGGGGTAAAAAGAAGGAGGCCTTAAATGGTGAAGGTGGTGTTTTTCCTCTCAATGAAAATTCTTTTGTTAATAGCAAATGAGTGAGAGAGAGAATGTTAATTATTATAAATTGAGTTTTGCAGACCACATAATATGCCTGCAGTATTTACCAGCTGAGCTTCTTGATTTGTCATCTGCAATAATCTGTACATGGTTAATTTATCCACTCTTAGATTGAAATGCTTAGACTGGAGTATCTTATACCTACCCAGCAAATTGAGCGTATTATTTTGTGCCAAGACAGAAAATAAAGCAAGATTTTAAAAGCCTTATAGAGTTATGCTGTAATTAGTTTCAGCTTTCCCTGCATATTAATTTTCTCCCGTTCCTTTATATAATTTGGAAAATGTCTCCAGAACATGATGGCACAATCAGTTAAGTACCTCTCAGAACTCATACACTAAACTGCATTTGCTCTAACAACTATTATAAAGCAGCCTGCAAAACAAATCCTCTGTTATTCTGTACAGTGCAGCTTATCAATGCAAACAGTTTAATATTTATGCTAAGAGGATTGTCAGAAGTAGCTTCTGTTCCTTTAATTCTTGTTTTAAATAAATAATGAGAACATTTAAACACATTACTCTTCCCAGGGCCCTGAGGTCGGCTAATCTTATTATTTATGAAGTGATGTGCTACATAATAGTACTTAGTGCATGTTAACAGATGCTATTATCAGGGGCTGATGTGGAGAGCCGAAGATATATTGGAATGTTATGTGTTAATACTGTCCTTGCAGTGTAATGTACGATGGATTGAGTGCCCAGGATGCTGGTGCGGCAATTAACCACACACCAACATGGGTGTAAAGCTGAAGTATGTTTTCTCAGGGGTATTACACTGCCATTAATAATTCCCAAGAGACATCTTTCACTTGGAAACAGTCTCTTCCAGAAGGCCAATGGTGTAGGCAAGGAAGTTACAGGTGTCAGTACTTTTAGAGTTCGTTTTACAGGGATGAAAGCCACACACATATGTTTGAAAGAACTTTTAAATCATCGGAACAACTCTATTGTATAGAAGCATAAAGTATAGACATTATTGAAAATGTCTTAAAAGAGATAGAAGCTTATTTCTGGGATTTGCTTCCCGTATCCTTGACGAACTGCATTGACCTGCAGTATATACTGAAATTATAACGCGTAGCATTTTTCTTTGTCTTGTTCCACTCCAAACGTTAACTAATTAATCATCAACATGCAAATTGTTCAAGGGGATGTGAAAAAAGAGGGGGAGAAATCCTCATTGGAGTGTGACAATTTGTTTTTGATGCAACACGTTATATTAGAGCCTAATCTTAAGGGATGTGATGGTTGCCACTTAGAAAACTTTCCTCTGCAGGCTGCAGTTCAGTTGAATATTATAATTAGACTTCAGTAGTATTGATGAATAATCCATTTAATAAAAAACACTGTAATTTAAACATTTTCTCAGGGGACTAACATACACTAACCTCTTAATTTAATTTTATTGAAGTTTTGCCCACCTATTCATCATTGGAAGTTGTTATTAACCTCCATTTCCATTTATCTTTATAGAATTTTCTCGTTTTATATTGCCTTTTTCAGAGCTAAGCAGGTTGATACACTTGTAAATCTCCGGAATCTACAAAGCTAGTCCGGCTTCTTTAATATTGTTTAATCTATCCCCCCTGACCTTAATGCAGTAAATTCAGTTTAATCTTTCTCAATAATCTAGTAAGATGTTGGAAACCGGCAAACATTTAAATCTGATAATGGTTTAATCACATACTTTAAATAACAGCTGAGATAATGAAAAAATAATTTACCGTATAAACGTACACTAACTGAGTTTTCTCTGTGATTGGCTTTTGAGAAATCCCTATAGAAAATACAAAGCCTACAACAGAAGTCAACTTCACTATAACTGAACAACGCATTTGGTCGGATGATGTGTTTTTTTATTTTCATTCCTCTCTGTAAGTTAAAGCACAAATGTATCCTTGCTGAGTGTTTGATTTCTTGATATGGTTTCTTGATGTAACTTTACTTAGGTAGTTCTTCTGCTTACTTTTCATTTCAGGTGCCAGTCAGAAGCAGCAGAGAGCTTGCCAGAAGACCAGAAACCTGAATGCCACCCCTTCTGGACAAATGATGAATGTAATATGCCTCTGCCATATGATCTTGAGGAAGTAATAGCTCACCTACAAAATCTTGTTCAGTAGGTAGAATATCAGGTGACCTTCCAGCCTAGAACTATTAATGTTCATCATTTGGAGTAAGTTTTTAGTTAGCATAATTTTTTTCATCTTTATGATTCCTCAGTTATGTGTTGGTTTACGTGTCAATGCAGATTTTACTGCTCTCCACACAGTACCTTAGTTACTGTCTCACAACAAAACTGACCAGACACCAAAGCTACAGAAAGAGTTGGCTTTTAAGATGTGATGTCCAGAACACCAGCCTCTGTTCTTTCCTCTTCATTCAAATCCCCATTGATCCTATACCCCATGGGTCGTTGTGTTTCCACAGGTTCCCCAGACATCTACATTTTAGCTTGCATGACTGCCTAGAACTGCCCCTGGCTCAGCAGTTTGAGCAACAGAAGGCATAGCTCACACCTGGGACAAAGCAGAATCCGTGATCTGGGCATCCTAACGAGAGGCCAGCTCAGAGGGAGCCTGCTAGGTGTGTCCAGATAGAGCTGTGCACACAATGTGGTGACATCTTTATCCAGTAATGTAGGCAGAGGTAGAGGAAATGGTGGAGAAAGTCCTTTATGGAATGGCTCCTTGTCAGAGCCTTTATAAAACTGAGGAACTTGTGAAGGAGCATCCTGGCATAGATACTAAGCCTATTTTGCTGTTTTTCATCATGGCAATTGTATGGTACTTTTTGTATTTTGTCAGAAATGGGTTTTGGAGATCACGAGCATGATGCTGATAGTAAGTCAGCCTCTCGTGGCACCTGTCATCTCAAGGTGTGAAGCACTCCCAAGTACTAAACCCTTCATATACAAAATGGTGTTGTATTGTGTGTGCAGAAGATCTGACGCGTCCATTATTAGACCTAAGGTGCATCCTCGTTGTCTGGGTTTTGGGCAACCTAGGCTTGCCTGCTAGTCTCATCCGCACACAATTGTACATGCCTCTATGGCTTTATCAAGAACACGTGACAGTGTTTGTCCTGGTGGCTGGGTTTTAAAAAACTTTCCAAACTAGGGACTTCCTACCTGGACCCTCATGGGCATAGGCCTCTGAAAGACAGTGCTCACAGGTCCAGTCCGAGGGTGCACAGCTCTGCTGTGGCAGGACAGCTTACAGTTTGTCTTCCAGGAAATTGGAAGATGTGGATTTGGACTTTTTTGGCCTAAGAACATGAATCTGCTGTCTGCTGTTCCTAGTTTATGCTCTAACAGATGCATAATTACATCTGCCTTCCTTTAGAAAGAATGGTGTGATCCGTCATTTGTACCTCTCAGAAGGGCCTTTGAGGCCTACACAGAGGGGACGATTTCCAACATGTAGCCATATCTCCCGGGTTGCCTGGAACTCAGGATTCATTTCCTATCCTTTGTTTTGTTTCTGCCTTTTGTGAATCCTGCTCTGAGGCCAGGTTTCCCATTACCTTGTCCAAAGAGCTGTGGGTTTTCATTTTGGGTCAGGCCCCCTGGCAAAATAGATTTAGATTATGTGATAGAAGGCATGGCAACATCTGTGATGATCTAGCCATAAGAACAAATCCAGAAGACTATGAGAAATGAAGCTGCTGTGATCTGGTTTGTAATAATATGCTATAAAAATAACAATTCTGTATTGGATAATGTCCTGAATGAGAGATTTTTCATTTGGTTAAGATGCTATTCTTATTTGAGCTGGTGTGTGCCTTTTCCTTCATCATAAAAAGCAGAAAATTATATTACAGTAAAACAGCACTCAGTCTGTATTACCACTAAAAAAAAAAAAAAAAAAAAAAACAGTCAGGCCCAGAGCTTGACATTGCCACCAAGAAATGGAATACGTCTCCTGTGTTAATCTTCTGTTTAAAATCACTGCTGGGGCCAGGCTTACCCAGAGCATACCAGGATACTCTGTTGGCAAAGCGTCCTGTGCGTGGATGAGTACTGCTGAAAACTCTGCTTTTGACAGTGTAACATATGCCAGACCTCCCTGCAGCTAAAGAAGCTGTGCCAGCAAAAATTCAGTTTTAGTGGTATAAAGCTGTGTCCACACCTACCAGCTTTTGCCAGGACAATTATATCAAGTAGAGGTTGTGCCTCTTAACACCTTTGACACAGCTATGCCAGCAAAAGTATAAAGGTCTGGATCGAGTGCTTTCATTGTATTCCTGCACTTCTGCTAAAGCTGTTAGCCACCGTATAGAAAGCAAAGACTCTTTGAAAAATAAATTACTTAAATTAGGTTTGATTGTATTATAACTGTAATCCACACATCTATCTGTTGTCTCATGTGCCACAGATTTGTTGACATTTGGAGATCCTTTGTTATGGGCATAGCTTTTCTTTCCTGTGCTGTCTAAAGCTAGCTTTACCAGTGGGCAAATAGCATATATTTGGATTAATGCCACACTGAATCCTGCTTACTTTGGAGATCACTTAGAAAAAAACTAGCTGAAGATGTGGGAATTCTGCTTTTGAAAAAGGCAGTTCTCACAGAAACAGATACTGCTTTGGAAATGAGAAAGATGAATTCAAACAAGCTAATGATGTAACACAGTTAACACAGGGTTTGAGGGGATTGTTTGTTTGTTTATGTTGCTTTATGATTGTTTTGTGTGTTTAATTAAGCTCTGCTAGAAACCATGGGGATCACAGTATTGAAATGAATCTGACAGCCATAAAAGGGTAGAGGAGGCACATCAGCGCCGCAGTATGTAGCTGAAGTGGAGGCATAGCTATTAAAAAATGATTGGCAAATAATTATTTCCAGCAGTAGTGAAACAACACTGTTTTTTTTTGTTGTTGTTGTTGTTATTGTTGGTTTTTTTTTCTTGTGTTAGGAGAGGGGTTGCAGCAATAATAGAATGTTTAAAAATACATGATTCTGGGTCTTGCCTACGCTGCACATTTAAGCTAGTGAATTAGCTGAACTAGTACTAGCCTCAGTGTGGTCAAATAGCACGCAGTTAAGCCAAGGGTGGCAATGACAGACAACTGAAAACCTTTGGAATGGGTAAGACCTAAGTTTCACTGGCAAAACACCAATAATCAAGTGGTTAAAGAGAGTTAACACTCTGTGTTGCATTCAAGTCTCACATCATCTGAAGCAGTGTAACTTGATTGAATTCAGTTGAAATATAGAAGTATATGGAGGTTTCATCTCTCCAAAGCCCACAGGAGTTGATGGCAAAGACATGAGTAAGGTTTATGAAACTGTTTGAAGCATGTAGTAATTCCAAAGGGTACCCCAAGAGAAGAACATGGTTAAAGAAAAACTGAGAGGTCAAATATAAGTTATTGCTGTGTTTGAGATATAAGCAGACAAATACTTCAAAGTTTTCTTTATTTTATACAAATAATTTTAATGTAGTTCGTTTTGCAATGATACTTCAGCAATCCATTTGTATTCCAGCACTAAATAACCCGTTACCATTTTGGATGAGCTGAAAAACACAGCCTCTAATGGATGCTCTGAGTATAGCAACTGTTTGCCAAGTCTGGATGCTGTAGATGCATAAGGACCAAGGTCAGTTTGTTTCAGGGAAGAGGTGAGAGCATAAATTAGATTCTAACATTAGATTCAGTGATTCTTTTAAAATGGTGAAGTTCATGGCTTTGCTTACATTTACTTTTCATCAGTCATGAAAGAATTAAGGTAAAATAGTTCACTCACACGTGTGTGTCAGGCTAAATGGATTACAGAAGATACAGATCTGTTTGCCTGTCTGCACTTGCCTTTAGACAATATTCATCAATTTTACTAAAGCTACTGACTAAACATGGAACCAATACAAATGAAATGCTCAAGGCAAGGGCTTTCTTTAAAAATGAGATAGAGAGTTGGTTTTACACTCAGAGAAAGAAAATGTTGGCAGAAAATGAAAAACTTCTATTGTTTATGTAATGCGGGGGATGAAAGGTAAAGGCCATTTTTAAGTAGTTGATAGAAAACTGCTGTGTTATGCCATGTAAATGATAAATGTTTTTATACTGCTTTATTCTTATCTCTGCATATGAAAATATTTTATCTTTTAGGTTCTTTCTTGTTGTTAAAAGGTTAAGTAAATAAAAAATATTAATCCCAGTACACTAGATTTTAAAGAAATCATGCTTATACTCTGAACGTTACAGCAGATCCTGATTATCTTAAGTGTAAATAAGAATGTTATGGGTAGTCACCAACTGGAAACTGTCCAGGATGGGTAACATGCAGCATAATAAATACCCAAATCAGTTGTCTTACTGTCATCCAGATGCCGTTTTTAGTTTCACTGATAATGATGTAGCTCTACTTAGCAAGACATACTTGAATGTCATTCTAGACCTTTCAATGCTGTGAGCCAGACTCAGGGATTCTAGTGCAGGGGGAAAAATAAAAAAATACATTAATTATTACCAAAGTCTATCACAACAGATAATTAAAGTACTGTAGTGTGTTACCAGTAGGCATTGCTCCTTTCTCAGTTACCGTAGTGCAGTTCCCTTAGCCCCGTGTCACCCAGTGGAATTTGGGCTAATGCAGCAGAGATGAAACTGGTTGATGTTGAAGGTGGGATGAGAGGAGGAGAAGAGAAAAGACATGCAAGGGATGTGCCTTCACAAGACCACAACTTTATTAACTTGACTCATGTGGGAATCATCCAGCAGTAACTTGTACAGTGCAGGTCCTGACCTCTCCCTTGATTGCTACCATCTGGTCCATAGTTAATGGTAGGTCCTTAACCCTCCTCGTGCCCCCAACAGCTGGTCCCCAGCTTTTTGCTGGGGCCTGACCACTGTCATCTTGTGCCCAGGTTACAGAGCTGGGAAGAGTGCTTGTTCCACTGTTAGGAACAGGCATGAGAAGCACTGTTCCCAAGCTTAGCCCCCACCTCTGTCCCACTACACCTCCGTGGCTTTGTACCTCCATACAACGTCTGTTCCCTCTTGAGGTTCAAGTTGTTGCAGCTCGTCTCCTGCTCTGCCCCACGGGGCTGGTGAGCTGCTGTGGGGAAGGGCCGGACAAACAGAGCACTGGCCACAGAGAGGTTCCTTGTCCCAGCAAAGACCACAGCAGACTGAAAAGCTCAGCCCTACGCTAGTCTAGGGATAGAGGGTGGGTGCTGTTAGGTGGTGATGAAGGCCTTGAGAGGAGAGGCCAGCACTCAGTGTTTGTAAGGACCCCAACCTGCCTGATTCTGGCTGTCACTTCACCCCACCTGTAAGAGCAGAGGCAATCCTGAATAGCACCACTGTGCTTTTCCCTTTCCAGTCCAAATTCGAAATCATTGCCTTTAATGTCGCTGGGCTTGTGTCTTGATTTGCATTCATCTTTCCGATTCACCTTAGCCTGAGGCATTCATTGAACAAGAGAAGATAATTTATACGTTTGCAAAAAGACTGTACTTAGTAAGGCTGCAGAATTGGCTGAATAATATGTCAAATGAAAGCCAACAGATAACTGATAAAATGATCGCATTAAAATGCTGATGTTTGGGAGTGAGCCCTTGACACATGACATGAAAACTACGCTTTATCTGCTCGTTGCTTTGCAGCCAGCACTCAATTCACATGATAGAAAAGGACACGCTATTCTGCAGTTTACATCCTCTAATACCCTATTGGTTTTACAGTGCTGAATTTGGACACAAAAGTTGCTCTCCTCCCCCTCCATATCGTCAAATACTTGCTTTCATGCCAACACATCTTGGTCTGATTAGTCTCCTTGATTAGAGGCTAAAGTAAAAAGTCAGGTGTATAGGATTCCCATTATCCTTTATTTCTCTCGTTCTAAGAACAGGTCAGATAGAGTTATTTCAGTGAAAATGTGAACAATCAACTTCTGTTTACCATTAACCTTCAGTTTTCTTTTCTTAAAATCAAATCAGGGCTTGGTAGGCAGTTATTTTCATACACGTCCCTTGATCAGTGGAACAATCTGTCAAAAGCCATTAAAGCCTCTGTTAGGTTGAATTGCATTCAAAGCTAAACTATCCAATCATTTAAAGGGCTATGATGATTGTTTTTAATACAGTATACATTTATTTCTCTCTCTGAGTAGTAGCATAACTTTGAAACTGAGCCTGTATGACTAGGGCTTTTTGCTATCAGCACTCCTGAGAGGCTTGGTTTGCTGCAGAAGGTGAATGTCTACGTAAAAGAGGAAGAAGTGAACACAGTGATACCACCTCTGTGTTCTCACAAGTTTTTTCACTTTTTTCCTACTTCATTACATCCATCAAGGTGTAATGCATGGGGAATGGGAAGGCATTTTCCAAGGTCCTTTGCTCAAACGTTTCACCAAAAAAATTAGCAGCTAATTGTAGTAATATTTTAAAGTGGCTTTTGATCTTAAGATCTCAGGATGCCTTACACAAGAGAAACTGAGGTAGAGGTCAAATGTGCAGCTGTGTTCTGCGTGCTAACACTGGAGCAGAGCATACGTAATGCCCCATCGCTGGCGTGTCCTGATTACTTCCAGTTAATCAGCTCCAGTTACGGGTCAAGGATGGTCTCAGAGAACTTTTTTTCTCCAAAGATATATCTGAAAGCGGAGTGGAATCTGCTCTTCTCATACAATATTTAATGTATTATTTAATTGTACAACACGTGGTAATACATCTCCTGTAATAGACATCTTTCAGGCCTCCTAATGCTTGATTAAACTTTAGAGTGAATCTTTTAGTTACATTCCAAGTCCCTGAGGTCTCAGTGGGAAAAGGTGAATTTTACTGGAACTATTAAATTTTTCCATGGAGAATATGCAGAGAATATTACAGTACAATCCACATTCTTCTGGCTCTGTTTTAAATATGTTCACTGGACAGCCCCCCAGGGTGGTGTAACTGCTGTACCAGGAAACTGAAGAAAATCCCCTGTGGGTATTTGGGTGCTATTTATCAAGGTGAAGATGCATTGCTGGAACATGCTGGAGTGCTTGTTATGCACCTGTTAGCACTTTTTGTCTGGTACCTATTTCGTAGTCTGGTAGTACTTTACTGAGAGCACTACTTTTCTAGTTATTTTGATGAACATCCTAATAATTTATTACCTAAACATTATCAAAGCATTCCATGGTTCTTTCATTGCCGTTTTTTTTCCCTTCTGTCCACCAATGCCCTTTCTTCCCCATTTAATTCATTATTAATAGTAATGCTATTAAGAAGTTGTGTTTTTTGTTAGGCTGTCATGGCTTTAAAGTGAGAAAACATAAAAACTGTATCAGGTAGCTTTTTCTCAAGTACATTTATTTTCCAACCTATTTATTATGACATTTTTGCTCATTGCTTATTTGCTATTGCTACATGTAATTTTTATTAAAGACTATTTGTATAAAAAATGTGAGATGTATATTTGATTTTGTGTAATATATTTGCTAATTTACCCACATTTATAAAATAAATCACTTAAAGAATGTCTTTGTCTATCATTTTTCCTCCAGAAGGTGTTAGCTCTTATCATCAATACTTCATTGTTGCAGTAAATGGAAGAAGGACTAAGAGGAGCATACTTTTCACGCCATTCAGGTGCCTACATGAGCAAATTAATTTTTGTAAGCTTCCTATATGCTGATTAGTGAGAGGTAAGCTTCTTCAGAGCAGCAAACTCAAAGGTACGCTGAACCTGCCCTTCAGTGGGGCATCTCTCTCTGACTGAACTGTACTGCAAACCCAAGCCAAGTGCCATAGTTATCCTCATCTGCTTATGCGAACAGTTTGTTGATTAGAAATAAACAGGAGGTAATGGGGAGCTTACTATTATTACTGAAATTCTTAGAATTAAATTCTGATTGTATTGCAGGTCTTCTAGTATGGAAGGCAGATTAATTTCCTTTTCTCTGGTAAGACTCACACTATAAATGGACATAACTAACTCTCCACACACACACTTCTTGTACTAGGGCTTCCCTCAATACAAATATATGGTTCTGCTACTGAATTTAGAAGTATTCTTCTGGCTATGCAACCTCACACTTCCCATATCCAACCCACACTCTTACATGATGTGAGTGCTAATAACCCAGTGCCTACCAGCACTGCATCAACCTGTTTGAGTGCATAAACGGCATTTCCTGTGTTTATTGCAGTAGAAGGTGCAATGAAAAACACATGCAGTTGTTAAATAAAGCAATATTGAAGAAATGTCTTGCATACACACACAAAAAATGCGATGAGGTTTGTGATGGCTGTTGTTTCTAGACTTTGTGGTGGGTTTTGCTGTCTCAAAGGAACAGAGTTACCACCAGTTCTCTCTCTCATGGCTGTAGATAGCCCGAAGTCAAAGCTACCCTGGATTCAGGTTACAGGGTAAGACAAGGATCAATCCTGCAAGTTTCATTTGGTGTGCTGAAGAATGCCACAGCAGACTGATCTGATGTGCACATGCCCATGACGCTTAGATGCACTGCAGTGTTCTGTATTAGGAATGTCCTTAACTCCAAAGGCTGTGTGCCCAGTTACTCTGCATTACTAGATTCCAGCCAGGAGGTGATGAAAGCGTGAATAACAGAGGCCAGGTTATTATTCCTGCCAGGATGGAATGGAGTCTTCTAGCCAAAAAGAGTTGACAGAGAACATTTTTCACAAATTCACCAGCTTAGAGTCAGCAAGGCATCCAGGAGCTAAGAAAATTGATTTCTTAGCCTAGTACATTCTTTCCTTGGCTTCAGAAAAGTTTAACCAAAAGTAAGTGTGTGGGCAACTGGATGAAAGGACAACTTGGGAAAACAGTATTATTCTTAAATATGTCTTACAATTCACTGTAATACAGATTACGTTACTCTAGCAAGACTAAGATGAGCTTCCCTTGTATCCAGATTTCCTTAAGCTGATCCTTTTTTTTTCTGGTTCCCTTAGAGCCAAAGGTTCCTTAGATTTTCCCAGTCTTTATCTTTTTATAAAAATGGGTAAAACACCATCAGGGAGCCTTTTCTGGGGATATACAAGCACAAGGAGACTTCACCGCTCTTCACTCAAAAGTAAGGTACTCTTTCAGTCTCTGCAGTAGAGAACAGCTTGTCTTAAATGAAGCAGAGACTAATCAGGATGCCTCCTCTTGCACTAGCAGCTAGGGAGGCCAGATACTTTTGCTGGAACAGGGCTGAAACAAATGGGAA